TTTTTTTTTTTTTTACCCTTCATTGTTTTCAACGGGCAAGCCAGTGGGGAAATGTTGTGTTTTCCCTTCCATGTCAGTGTTCTCCAAACTCCCTCCCCCCTTGTCTCCTGCCAGATCGATGAGTTCTACGTGGGCCCGGTGCCTCCGAAGCAGGTGACATTTGCCAAGCTGAACGATAACATCCGCGAAAACTTCCTGAGGGACATGTGCAAGAAGTATGGGGAAGTGGAGGAGGTGGAGATTTTGTACAACCCCAAGACCAAGAAGCACTTGGGCATTGCCAAGGTGGTCTTTGCCACGGTCCGGGGAGCCAAGGAGGCGGTTCAGCACTTGCATAGCACTTCGGTTATGGGCAATATCATCCACGTGGAGCTGGATACCAAAGGTGAGTGGAGGCCGGCTCGGGAGCCCCGGGGAGGAGCCCCAGACCTTCCCCTCCCAGAGCCCCTCCAGCAGTGTTGGGGACCCTCTCACTCTTCCTGGGGTGCCCCCCTACAATCTTTGTTGTTGTTGTTGTGGGGTTTTTTTTTTGCCCCCCCTCCTGAGGATAGAGTCACATGGAGCTAAATGTGTTGTCTGTTGCTAGGAGACAAGCTATAATTTACCAAATGTGCGGGTCCTTGGCCGCTGCACCCTTAGGGACCACCAGGAGGCTCCCCCAGCCCCTCGGGAGCCCTGGCGGCCTGGGTTTAGACGGTCCCCGCGTTGCCCTCGGTGAGGGGAGGAGTCTGCGTTTGTTTATTTGTGGGAGGGGGGGCCGGGGGAGAGCCACTAGGATGCCTTGAAATGCATCGGGAGTGGGTCCCTTAACTTAAAAGAGAGTCCTCCAGGGATCCAGGGCGCCCCTCCCCCCAGGCCACCCCTTCCCCCTGGAAGTGGGAACCAATCTGGGCCCAGAGTGTGGTTTCATTGATAATGTTCCAGATAGCGTGGGGCGGGCCGCGCCGGGTGCTCCGGGGTTGACACCGGCTTCCCTCCTCGCTCTTAAAGAGACAGCAGCACCTCCCTGCCCCGCGCGCACTCCCTGCTGGCTGCTGGGAGAGGCGGGCTGGGGCGGCCACACCTCCCGCCCTGCAGGCTCCGGAGGCTCCTCCTGAGTGCTGGCCGGAGGGGCTAGTGACCACTCCAGTTCCCACAAAGATAGAA